GTAATTTTATTTAAAATTGTGTTCTGTGATAAAGAAATGTTTATTGCACATCCTGTAGTTATTTTTCAAATTGTTTGAATATTGAATACCCCAAGTATGAAAATTTTTTATGGATATTTGTTTGTGGTGTCATTCTACAGATGGTGCCACATTGTATTTATTATTTCTGTCACATACATAGATACATATATACACACTATGTCAATTATAGTAACATTAAGTATTTATAGAAAAATAACATCTTAAAACTTTTAGGAAAAAATTTTTGTTAATAACCTGGTCAGTATCTTGGTGGATGAAACTGAAAAAACAAATTTTTGTTTTTAACTGTTTGTTTCTCTCAAGAAATTGAAAAGTATCATGAACATCTGAATGTTTAAGTAAACAATTTGAATTTTGAGATTAACATTTTTAAAATTTCTTCTTACTCAGAATCACACCCACGCCTCTTGGAGAAGGTAAGAGCACTACAACAGTTGGTCTGAGCCAGGCTCTTGGAGCCCATTTAAAAAAGAATGTTTTTGCCTGTATGAGACAACCGTCACAAGGTCCTACATTTGGAATTAAAGGTATTATAACTTATTGTGGGCTTGTCCTTATTACTATTGTGAATGTTTGAAATATAATTCTTATAGGGAATTGTGTTGTTGGCAATATTATTGACAATATAGTGTTCACACAATTATAAACGCATTATTTTTAAAGAAATTAAAGTTGTGGTAATTTTTTAAAGGGCAATATGATGAATCTATATATTAGAAATGTATGTATATAAAAAACAATTATTGTGATTTTAATTTGTACATATTTCTTCCCTTTTACCATAGGGGGTGCTGCTGGAGGTGGATATTCCCAAGTTATTCCTATGGATGAATTTAACTTGCACTTGACAGGTGATATTCATGCTATTACAGCTGCAAACAATCTTCTAGCGGCTCAAATTGATGCTCGTATGTTTCATGAGGCAACACAGAGTGATGAGGTATCAGCTTGAAATGTGTACTGTACCAGAAAGTATCTCATTAATAGAAACCTAAATATGGCTAATTAAACATACAAATTTTGTTTTTCTTGGAGAATTTGAAAATGGAAAATAATTTGCCACTTATCCTCTTTAGATTGTTTCACACATATAACATTTTCATAATTTTAGGATAAATCATCCCAACTAGGTGTTGAAGCTAAAACTTCTATTTAAAATAGAATATTTATTTATAAACAATTATTTCAATTTTATCCATATAATATTGTGAAATTTTGTATTTTTCTGTTTTGTATTAATTATTTTTCAATAAGTAGAGCATTAATTTCCTCATTCCATTTCAAGAATATTGATATTGTTTCGTAGGCACTTTATGGTCGCTTAGTACCGTCCGAAAAAGGGGAACGAAAATTCTCAAAAATCCAACTGGCAAGACTCAAGGTAAAAACTTAATATAATGTCTTAATATGTAGGCATATTATAATTACAGTGTACAATTAAACTTTAATATTTGCTTTGTTGGTTTTTCGAAAGTAAGTTAAAATAGACTAATAATTTTAATCTTCAAGCATTAAAAACTTCCTTCATTAAAAGGCAAATTTTAAATGAATGAAGCTAATTCTATATGACAAACTGGTTGATGGTCTCAGTGCATAGATTTTAGCTGTTTACTAGATTGAACTTTTTAATAATAATTAGGACTTTTGATTTTAACCACTAAACACACCTGATACAAAAGAAAACATTATATTAATGTTTTTCCAATAAACACTAGAAATGCTTATTCATTTTGTTAGACATACAAACTGTAGCTACTTTTATGACTACATTGCCTTGAAATGTTACTCTTAATGAAAAGGAACACATTTTATCCCCTAGTGACAAGTTTGTTTTTATAATTTCGTATAAAATAATAATTGCTCTTACAAAACTTTAACATAAATATAACTATGTTTTATACCTGTTATTACTCCCATAAGAGAAATTAGTGTGCAGAGAATATGCAATATATTATTATACTCATTACAGTATTAACACGTCTCTCAGGAACTAAGGGGTGTTTTACACTATAATTTGTTGAATATTAAAAGTAAGTTCAATCCGGAAACTCCCAAAGAGGGTGGTTTTGGATGTATCTTTTTGAGACAAGTTTTTGTTTGTTAATTGATAAATTTTTAAGTGAAATACAGCATCCTCAAGTCTCCATACCAGCTAGTACAAAGGTTTGCCCACTGGGAGTAAATTCAGTATATATCAATAAAGCCACATTCTCAGCATCATTAATTAAGCAATTGGCAACAATTTATGCTTCTACTATCACCTTTTTATGTTTAGTTTTCAGTTGAGATACGAATGATTTCACCTGCAATTCGGTAGGGAAGGTCGAAGCATTACGATAGTCAGCAATAGGATGAGCAGACAGGAACACTTTGAAAGCAGCTACAGACTTAATATTCTACTCGGTTTGCTGCACAATATCTAAATGGTTCTATACAGTTCCTGAATGCCTCTGTGTATCATTATGAGAATTCCATGCTTTTTATGTTTGGCTGTTAAGCTTGTGATGCACTGACGGATTTCAGTCACCTTACCACTTCAAATCATTTTTGCAGCCCCAACGCTAAAAAAGTGCAGAAAATTCCTTCTTTTTAGCCAATAAACATGTCCAAAACATTTCAGTTCAGATTAAGAAAAACTGAATTGGATAGTTTTTGTTTGAATTTTTCAACAAAAATTACCTCCACTGGCTCGTGAGGGCCTGTTAAAAATGAAAACCCTGAAAAACACCAATTTTAAGGTACCTGTATAAAACAAAAAGATAAACACGATTTTTAAAAGAAATAAACACTGAAAATCAGAAGCCCTAATGATAATCTGAGAAAAAAGTAGTTGATTGATAAACCATTATGTATCACTGAGTAACTTACATTCCCCACAAATTCCACAGTGAGTGTGAGTTGACTTCTTGTATCTTAGTCAGTCTAATCAAAGTTCTAGTTCAGTTCTTAGTTTAGTGTTTTCTGTGCAGTGAAGAATACATATTGTAATTTTCTAGGGCTAAAAAGGTTTTAGATTTTTACATCATTTTGTTTTTGAAATTATGTGTGTATTGATTACCACAAAAACCAGTTAAAACATTTTTTTCAGTTTTCAGTTACTTTTAGTTTCAACTAAAGTAAAATAGAGTTGAGAAAGAACTACAGAATATTTCTATTTTAACTAGTTAGCTGAACATATGATGTCTTTATTGGACATTTATTTCATGTTTTTATTACAATTCTAACATATGAAAAGAACCAATGCTGTTAAAAAGGTTTGTCACTTGTTATTATGAGAAAAATTGTAATGAGATATTGCATTTATTTTACAGTATTAAATAGTTTTACCTTTGAAAGGGTTAGAAAAACTGTATCACAAAAATTTTAAGCATTTCATTTATCTCTGCTTTGAGATATTGTCTCAATTTCAAGAACATGCAGTAGTAGTTATAATTTTCTAAAAGTAATAATTTGTGCTTGTGTTATGTGATTAGTTGATATGCTTTTTATAGGGGTTACAAATTCTGGTAATTATGATTTCATGTGTTTATTTTAGATGTATGGAAATTGCTGTAATCCCCTGTACTCTGAATATGTTGATTTTTCTTGTGAAATTTGTCTTTATATGCATAGAAACTAGGTATTGAGAAGACAAATCCAGGTGATCTCAGTCCAGAAGAAATCAAAATGTTTGTGAGATTAGATATTGATCCTGATACTATTATCTGGCAACGAGGTGAAGTACTTGTGTTTTGTTTTTATTAACTGAATTGTTTATGTTTTGTTTTTAATTCTATAAAAATGATTAAATTTTGCATCAATTCGTCTTTTCTTAATGACTCTGACAGATCTTTAGTAGAACTGTTTTGTTTAAAAAATTCTCATTTTTTGTGTGCAACAGACTTGTAATATAGTGTTTATGCAGTTATCAACAGATTTTATTTTATTTGAAATTCATTGATGAGACTTTGCACATAAAAAAAGAACAGTTTTAACATTATTTATTTTGTAAGCATATTTGATGTTTTATGACATTCTGTATGCTTGATTTAAAATGTTTCATGAAACATTACAGCAGTGATTTCTACTATGAAAAACTCAGTGCTATTATTTTGTATCAGTTATTATAGATGCATTATTAAGGTGGAGCCCAACAAAGGATATTGTGTAAATTTGTATCATGTTGTTAGTGCACTGATTAAGTTATTGAAAGCTAGAAGAGTAAAACAGTTTATAGTGCCTTTGTGTCATCTCAAGCAAGCAGCAATAAGATGTGTGAACTTCTTTTTCAAGTAGCCATCTATAGGAAGTTAATCATCAGATGGATTAATTGTAATAAATACTTAATAATTGCAAACTTTGTCATAAAATATACAATAACATCACAATTTGCTTAAGGTTGTAGAGTATATTACGATATTTTTTTACTCAGACTGGTATTAGAAAGTAAGTTTCTGATAAATAAGATGTTATATCATAAGCTTTATGTTTAGGTGTGTGTGTTTCTACTGCTTTTGCTTTATTTTATTACTTAGCTCCAATTTAGTAATTTTTTAAAGAAGTGAATGACTGAGAAAGACTTACTTATATCCCTTCTAAATGAAATATCAAATATTAGCCCTCATAGCAGTACCTGTGGGCAAGAATTAATTAACAAGGGTCTTAAAGTATATCAGGAATTTTTTAGATCTCTGAATTTTTTAATTTCAGTTAGTCCGAGATGTAAAGTGATTTGCTCCTGCTTTAATTAAGACTAAACATGAGAGAGAGAGAATCAAAAATATAATAGTAATTTATTCATAACTACTCATGTTTGGTAGATCTCCTTTTTGTTAATGTGTATGATAAAAGCATGTAGCTAATATCCTTTTTGTTAACTTGTATGATAAAATCGTGTGGCTAGACCTTCTTTTTGTTAATGTATATGATAAAAGTGTAGCTAGATCTTCTTTTTGTTAATGTATATGATAAAAGTGTAGCTAGATCTTCGTTTTGTTAATGTATATGATAAAAGTGTGTAGCTAGATCTCCTTTTTATTAATGTGTATGATAAAAACATGTAGCTAAATCTCCCTTTTGTTAATGTGTATGATAAAAACATGTAGCTAAATCTCCCTTTTGTTAATGTGTATAATAAATGCATGAAGCTAATCTCCTTTTCATTAACTTGAATAATAAATGCGTGAAGCTAATTTCCTTTTTGATAATGTGTATGATAAAAACATGTAGCTAAATCTCCCTTTTATTAATGTGTATAATAAATGTGTGAAGCTAATCTCCTTTTCATTAACTTGTATAATAAATGCGTGAAGCTAATCTCCTTTTCATTAACTTTTATGATAAATACATGAAGCTAGATCTTCTATTCTTAATGTGTATGACAAATGCACATACCTAGATCTCCTATGTTTAATGTGTTCTATAAAACTATGTAAGGAGAGTGATAATTATCAGATCGAATTAAAAAGAAATAAACCAAAGAAGAATCATTTTATATTCTTGATTGTCTGGAATGCTAATTGAAATATTCTGTGGGTCATATTTCTTAGATTATCTTACAACAGCAACTCTACCGAAAGGAAATATTCGTTATTGCTTGATATTTTGCCTTATTGCTTCATCAGGACAGTGTCATTATAAATAGCTGGAGCTGTTGTCACAAACTAATCAACAAGAAAATCAATTTACAAAGTTGTTTTATAAAAGCTGTTGTAAGGTGAGCGAAAAAACAGAATGTGAAACGTGTAAAACTGCATTTCACTTTCAAGTAATGCATATTTTGGATATTCAACTGCTGTTTTTTTTACATAAACATTTATAGATATCTCTGTGCTTTGCTGTCTAAATTGTGTAAAAGAGTAATGGCATTATCTGTTGCATTTTCTTTACAGTCATTGACACAAATGATCGTTTCCTTAGAAAAATAACTATTGGCCAGTCCCCTACTGAGAAAGGACATACTCGAGAGGTACACATTTAACCTGAAATATTTATTATGGTCAAAAGTTTGTAAATTTCTACCTATTATGAATACATTAGGAGCTCAGGAAAGATTAACTAGTTATGATGTATATAAATAGTTTGTCAATTGATAAAAGTACTCTTGATCTAAACTTAGGTTATACAAGTTTAATATAACAATAATATTTCTAATCATGATATAAGACTAGTACAACTGTGTGAGACTGTCAAGTCACAGCTGGTACAAGTTTACCTTAACAAAATGAAACTGGTAACAGTATATTTTTCACAAAATAATCAGGTTATATATAATTATAATACAATTTTAATAAAGCTTAATTCACAGTGTGATAATTATATTGTTATTAGGTGAGCACAAGAGCAAGGCTTTGTCGTATTACCAGTTTAGTATCACAGAGATGCTGTAGTTATATTGCAAGTTTGATACCACAGAGAGACTGTGACCATATTACGAGTTTAGCATGACAGCGAGACTGGTCATATTGCAAGTTTAGCACCACAGAGAGACTGTGGTCATATTAAAAGTTTAGCATGACAGTGAGACTGGTCATATTATAGCTTGAGCACAATGGTGAGACTGTGATCATATTAAAATTTTAGCATAACAGTGAGACTTTGGTTATATTGCAAGTTTAGAAGAACAATGAGACTGGTTGTATTATTAATTTAGCACAACAGCAAGACTGTGCTAATATTACAACTTTAGCATTACAGTGGGACTCTGGTCATGTTACAACATTACTATAAAAGTGGGACTGTTTCAAGTCAAATTACATATTTTTAGTACAGTTGTGAAACTGCTAGATTACAATACAACTGAGTGTGATATAAGAATTGTCTGGTCATATCTTAAGTGCAAAAATGGGATTATTTAGTTACAATATAAATCTAATACAACGTTGAGACTGTCTCATTATTGACATCTATCATCAGGCTAAGTATTATTACATATAACCTTGTTATGTTAACATAAGTTAACTTTAAATCTTGTATCTGTGATCATATTAAATGTACTTAACTGTACTTGCTACGTTCACTTAGCTTTATACTGAGTTTGTACATTTGGTCGTATCAAGTATACTTCAGTGTTTTGTGAGACAACTAGTGAACTGAATAATTAATTCAAAAATACAGTAACAGCAAATGTAACTGTTACCTGTTGATAATTCAATACTATGTGTAGAAATGTTGTAATTATTAAAATCAGAACTTGCCTACTGTAAAAGTGGCTGTTATTGAATTTTTGAATTAATTATACTTTACTTGCTGTGTTTATGTAGCCTAAAGCTTAATTTCATTTTCTGTGTTTATTTAGTTTAAGGCTAAGCACTATCATGTGGTCACATTAAATGTATTTTACTTCTACACTTGCTGTGCTTAATAACGTTAAGACTGAGCTCTTCTTTGTGGTCACATTAAGTATATGTTATTAATACAGTTACCACACTTGCTATTTTTAATTATTTTAAGGCTAAGCTCCTCCATGTGGTCACATTACGTATATCTTATTACTACAATTATTGTGTTTATTTAGTTTAAAGTTAAGCTCTTCCATATGGTCGCATTAAGTATATCTTACTACTACTCTTGCTGTGTTTAATTAGCTAAAGCTAATTTTTTCTTTGTAGTCATATTAAGTGTATATTATTATTGCACGTGTTGTGTTTATTTATCTCAAAGCTAGTCTATTCTGTGTAGTTATTTTTAAGTGTTTTTATTTCATGTTGTATTTAACTAATTTAAGTCTGTGTGTGGTCAGAATAGGTATATTTGCTTTTATTATTTTCCTTTGTTACGTTTTTCCAAATCAATTACTAGTCTGTTAACTTCCAGTAAAGTAATTAATGTACCTGTTGTACTTTTGCTCTTTTTTTTATTACATCACAAATCTGTGATAAATGTACAACCTTTTTTATTTATAAATAAACTTTAACAAACAAAATTACCATTTTTAGACCCACTTTGATATTTCTGTGGCCAGTGAGATAATGGCCATATTAGCACTGACCACAAGCCCACAAGACATGAGGGAGCGCCTTGGAAAAATTGTTGTTGCTAGTGACCGCTCTGGCAATCCAGTTACTGCTGATGATTTGGTATATACTGTCTTTATCAGTACTTTTAATTTTATCATATCAGTTACTTTAATTCACTTACTATAACTTGTTTTTTTTATTTTACTGTTAACATGTTTTTCTTGATAATCATTGTATAGAACCTTCAGTTGTTCTGAATAACATATCTAGAATCTTGATAATTTCATAGCTGTGAAACTACTAGCAGAGAAATTGGTTGATAATCCCTGGATCAGAATATTGTTCCTCACCTTTGCAGAGGTTATACATATGAAGCTCTAACTACACTAAATATTAAAAATCTGTTTAATATAAATATACAACAAAAGTTGGCTTTAGATTTTTAAGTATTTTGCTGATATTTACTATATCTTAGTTAATAAATTTTGTTAATATTTATTAAAATAAAAATTTGAATAAGTTATTATATGGATTCTTTAACTGTGCTTATTAAAATAATGAATTCTTTGTTTCAAAATATTTCTCAGCTTAGTTTTAAGCTTGAGTTTTTGGTATAAACACAGATGACATAGGATTTTTTTTCCCTTTTAAAAAAAAAACAGATGGAAACATTCAAAGTGAAACAACTTAAACTTGCTATTTTGAAGAACTTTTTATAATAAATTTTTTCATGCAAAATTCGATCTTTCTTTTACATTTGTTTTAAGTGTACTTACTTTCACTTGGTATTTAGCTAATGTAGTTTAAGTCTGGAGTTTGATTTATGTTTGTGTGTGATTTCTTTTTGGGTTTCTTTATTCCTAGGGTGTTTCAGGTGCTTTGACTGTACTTATGAAAGATGCTATTAATCCTAATTTGATGCAAACTCTAGAAGTGAGTCAGTTTTGTTTTGCTTTTTGTTTATTTAGTACAATTTTAAGAGAGCTAGATCAATGAAAACCATGTAATGACAATTTGTTACAGAATGGTGTTGAGGTTGGTCTGTGTTTATGTCCATGTAATATTTTTAAATAATTTGTCTATTAGGTGAGAATTTTTAAGGTTTCTTATGCATACACTTAAAATGAAGTTTCCTGATTTGTAATTTATATATATTGATTGAATGTTTTTCAGGCACACTTGAAAGTAAAGGATTTTGCTCATGATCATGAGTGATATGTTTACAAAGTATGAGTTTAGCTGGATATTTTTTTTTATATTTGTTTGAATAACACTTGATTTTCTTGACATTTATAGGGCACCCCAGTTTTTGTACATGCTGGACCATTTGCTAATATTGCTCATGGAAGCTCCTCAATTCTTGCTGACAAAATAGCATTGAGTTTAGTTGGTGAAGATGGAATAACAGGTACAGTCAGTTTTTACAGAATGCTGTATTTTTACATACTTCTATCTGTAGTGTGTAAATACTGTTTTGCAGTAGCTCTTCAGTTAGTTAGGTTATTTGTTATGACAATTATGGAGTTACATTGTTTCACACTATAAATGGAATTAGTCTTGTGGATTATTACAAATCATCCTGAATAAAACCTGATAACTCAAGCACTTTTGGAAAGCTGACTTCATCAGGAGAGAATGAGAAATATTTAATGACTAAAATCCATAGAAAACTCAGTTAAAATCTTGATATATTCAGTTTTTAAAAACGATCTTCCAATTATTTATTACCTTTAGTTACTTTTTCTTTTTGTCTTGAAAACTTAAGTTTTGTGTTTTATTGTTTTTATTATTATTTATTCTTTTTAATATTTGTACAGTAACTGAAGCAGGGTTTGGAGCTGATATTGGCATGGAAAAATTCTTCAACATCAAATGTCGTTACTCAGGACTAATACCAAATGCTGTAGTTTTAGTAGCAAGTATCCGAGCTCTCAAAATGCATGGAGGTGGTCCAATTGTCACAGCTGGGACTCCTTTGGCTAAGGAATATAAAGAAGAAGTAGGGAATATAAAAAAATTATCTATTACCAGACCCAAAATATAGTACAAATACTGTACAAACTGTTTAATAGTTAACTCATCTTAACTTTTTTCAGTGGTATACTTACTAGATTCAAACAAAAACTGTAAATATGAAATTTCAGTTACTCACTTATGTAGTTACATTAATTTTGAACTTGATTTACCACCTATACTGTTTGTTTCAATATTTGTGCATAGATGTATAAGGAAACAAATTTTAACAGATCATTGGTCTAGTTATTTTCTATATATTCATGTTGTATATTACATTTACACACACACACATATATATATATATATAGTATCCTTTTCAGATGTTTGTACATAAAATATCATGTTATTGGTATTGATTTTTTATTACTGGTAATTTTATTATCATTATGCTAGGCACAAGTTAAAAAATACTAGTGTTTGAAAGTTATTAAATTGGTTGGGGTTCCACATGTGTATATGTAAATGCAACAAAATCTCTTCCTTAAAACTGTGTTAGAAGTCTTATGGCATATTTATACCTTTATAGCTATTTCTAAATTGTAGCTATAAAATTATATATTTTATCTTACATTTGCAATGAAAATTTACTGATTTTTAAATCCCTGATTTCCATTAGAAAAATGGAATTAACTAAAACAAAAATTTGATTAATTTCAAGTTTTTCCAGATCTGTATTAGTTATAAACTAATGATGAAGAAAAGTTTTAGGCCAATTCTCATTCCAGTCTGTTATTGTGAAGAAGTGTTCTAAACCTTTATTTGATTTGATCTTGGATTCCAATAGTTCAAATAGTCAAGCCAGATGCCCAAAACGGAAGAGAAAAGTCATTTTCTCACTCTAGGTGCCAACAGGAAAAATATTTTTGAAAATAGGGGACTTCACATTTCTGTACCAAATACATTCACAACATGAAAGCAGTATTCAATAAAAGAAATGGTTATTTAGGGGTTAATTATTTCTATTATATGTAGGTGTGTGTGAACATCAAAAGGAAGGACTTTGACAGAAACAGCAAGACCAAACCTATGATGAAATAGAACATATTTATAATTCAAAACAAGAATTGATAACTAGCTGTGACCCACAAAATCTTAGTGGTAGTTTTTATGCCCTTTGCTTAAATTTTTTTTATTCTATTATTTTTATGCATGCCACCTGTCAGAAACTTACTTTTTAGTAGTATATATTAAAGAAAGTATATGGGTGTGTTGGGCTAAGGATTCTTCTACAGTAGGTGTCTGTGACTTATTGGCAATGAATTTGACAATAAACAAACAGCACACACTCCACTTGTTTTTAAAATCATATATATATATTAGAAACAATTGAACATTATACACAATTCTTTACACTGTGGAGATCATAGTTGTATCATAAACACTTTACAGTTTTCTTCTTCTTATCAAAAGTCCACTTAGGCTAATTCAATTGCTTTAGAATTCAGTTGACAAGCCGAACCATTTTTATATGTATTACTTGTATCTTAAACACTACCATTCTCTTCTTGTCAAAAGTCCAGTTAGGCCATTTCAATTGCTTTAGAATTCAGTTGAAAAGTCTATCTCTTTTACTATTTCTATCACAATAGCATTCATGTAGAGTTCACTTATGTTGTCATTGAGTTACCGAGGTTGTATCCTTTACTTCCAATATTCGTCTGCTTTCGTACTTTCAATAGTCATCTGCTTTTTGTCAAAGGCCACTGAGGTGGGTTCAATAACTTTAGAACACCCTTTAATAAGACAACTTATTCTCTTTCAAAATTGTTAATCTCACTCTAATATATCAACCATTAGGCCTTTTACTCCCATGATATTTAACTTTACGTTTAACTTTTCTCTGACAAATCTTCTCTTTCGTGTGTCTTTACTTTTTCTCTCGGTTTCCGCTCATCTGCTCACAGTTATTTATATGTATATCACTTAGGCCTTCTAGAAATCTCCATAGCTTTGACATCAATGAATTACAAACACAAAATTAATTAATTAATAATACTACTTACACTAAACAGTCTTTTATATCTGACATCACTTAAGCTATGCTTTTTTACAGACTTTATGTATTAGATTGATAAATTCTGGTCTGTTTGAAAACATTTTACCTGGTCAAACAAACAAACTCATGTAGATGTAACTTTATTTAATAAAACTACATGTAAACAGCAAAGTAAATTAATGATATTTATAATAGTGTACAGAGTGTGAAACTGTTATGAGCATTCAGTGCATGACACGATTTTAATATTTGAAACAAAAACTCACAAAAACAAAGAATAAAACCCATATTAAAGAAAAAGTAGATAAAATGTGTTTATAGCAGTCTATGAAATAAACCAAAGCTAAATATTTTAAAGTAAAGAAATGTAAAGTTGCAATGATGGCAAACTTAGCTGAATATGCAGAAACATCTAAATGCATGTTCAAAAAAGTGATAAGCATATGGTTTTGAATGAACTGCCCATGTGTATTTTAGACCTAAATAAGTTGAGAAAGCCCATAGAAATTGTATTTAGAGTGATGTTAAATTTTTTATAGGAAATTGCATGTGGGTTAAGTGTGCTATTTATGTGAAATACCTTGCAAGTGAAAGAACTAAAGTTGAAGTCGAGGCCAGTTGTCATGTGATGACAACGACATTGTGCCATTCACATACCATACTTGTGGCATTTAAAAGTTTGGCTAAGACAAAAACAAGTAAGGTTATTCTGAATTGAAAAGCCAATATGCAATCCAGACGTTTTTGACAAAGGCCTTTCTAATGTTATGAGATTTGTAGCTTTTGATCAAGAAGTTTGAGAGAAAAGTTTTGGACAGACAAATGCAAGCATATTATTTATATAGATATAATGTTGCAGAACCAAAATCGATGAAGTCAACAGGGCACAATGTATAATGTGTGCAATATAAAATGTGTCCTGGCTGTTGGAGGTGGCTGTGGATGTAGGACTCACTTAGTGGTGAGGATACACCATCTACTATCAGTCTTAACCTCCATTTGCCAAGCTTCACTTATAAAGAATAAAAGAGTTAAATAAGAGAGCAAGGTGTAGGTGCTCAAGCCCACAATGCTCCAGATCTATATCACTCTTCACTGTCTGCAGATAATTGTGGGAAGGTGACTTTTTAATATGAAAAGAAATAAGGTCCTATCATTGGTGGTGGTGAGTAAGAAAAACACCTCCTGAAGTAGACATTCCAATCTACATTATGGTAGTAAAACTTCTAATTAACTACTATACAACTAATATCCACGTGCAATTTGAAACATTAAGAAATAAGTGATTGTACTTTTTTTTTATTTTAATAACTTGTTTTTTAGATCCAGTACTTACCTCCTTTCACATAAATAGGTATTGTTCAGTGCTGCCCTCTATATGCAAACATCTTTTTGGCACACCACAAGCCTTGAACCCCCATGATCAATGTGGTTCAATTGTGTCTCGCATGTAAATCATCATGCTCCACCAATAGGAGTGTGACACACCCTCCTGACACATGTGACTCCCTTTATTTGATTCTGCTGAACTAACACTTCTCGTTAGGCAGTACTTTTTTTCTTTTTTTTAATTTCATACAAAGTGGAGATATTTTATATTTTCTTTCTAATTCACTTTACCAGTTTTAAGTGATAACTTATATTTATTGTTCTTCACTTCTTTTTTTTTTTTCTTGGTTTTCACCAAAGCTTGTTACCACTGAGAAAATTTTATTATTTACTTCCAGCACAATTATGGGTATCTCCGAAGGAATGTTGTAGCTTTGGGGTGAGCAGTCAAAATTGCAGTACACCCCTTCAATTGGGATCCCTCATCCTACCCCCACTTGGATGTTGGTTCCTAGTGGCTGGGTTTTGGATTCAGAGCTGGACCAATCAACATAACCTCTCACACATGTATTACTGGTGTCTCTGTACCCTCACTCAATTGGACTCATGTTCACTGCTACCTTATTGTGGGTCATGTGGGTCAGTTCTTCCTCTTGCGCTATCCCTCAAAAATTTTCATATTCCAAGAAGGTCACTGCACTGGAGGTGGTTCCTGTCTGATTGGTTTAGGTGGGATATTTTACAATACAGGGACACCTTTATTACTCTGATCATCCGGATGTTGGGTTCCCGGATCAGTCACACATTTTATCACTTTGCTATCACATGTCCTGTTCACAGATCGGTAGGTATATTTCCCTCCATTCTGCTGAACTTAAGGTGAAGACAGTATGATCCTCTTTCCTACCCTCACCAGATGGCTGGGTTTTGGATTGTAATTGACTTGCTGCCATTATGATCCTCTTTCCTACCTCCACATGGATGTTAGTTCCTAGTTGTTGGGTTTTGAATTTTAGTTGACTTGCCACCAGTATGATCTTCTTTCATACCCCCACATGGATGTTGGTTCCCATTGGCTGGGTTTAAGATGCAGTTGACTTGCCGTGTACAATCCGTCTCACCCTAGCCACTATACATCTTGGGGCACATCCTTTTTACTCTCACCCACATCACTGTCATCTATGGGATTGAGATTCAATATCGGGTGGTTCGGATGCCTATCCAACATTTGTTCTCTCCCTTTTGGATATGCTGCTTCCTTTTTCCTCCCATTTTTAGTATAGGAAAGTTATAACTTTCATTTTATTTTTTGAAATTTGAATAAGTAAAATAATCCATCTTCATTCAAAATAATATAAAACCATTTTCTAAGTTTACTGCGTTTTAATTTTTTTTTAACATACAGTTTGAATGCTGATCGTGATTATAGTCTTAACCCATATGCATATGCATTACTTCTTCCTACATCTTCACAGAATGAGCAGCGTCAAAATCCCTTGATACCTTGCACATTCAAACTTAACTCATTCTCACTCATAACTTAGAAACTTTGGCTTTTCATTCTTTAATTTTTCTTCAACTTTTCATTTCTGACCAGAATTTGACTCAGATTTTTCTAAAGGTTTTATGCCTAACCAAGTTGCTAAGGGTATTCTGAGTGAGTGACGAATACCACTATGGGCAGCAATGTATAAATTTGATTTAACTGTGTGTTTAAAATGGAGTTATATCTGTAAATTAATGAGTAAAGGCAATTTAAGATATTGCTTTATGGTAAATTAATGATTACCTCCTGTGACAAACAATCTAATCAAAAATACAACAATCTGTATGCTGAAAAATCACAACACCTTTCTTAATTATCATAATCTACTGATAATAATTAATCCACTTATATCTATCAATAGAATATACAGTCAACTTTTTTGTTTTGGCAAACTTTCAAACTATGCATGTAATTGAGATTGACTTATTCTTGATGGAGATATTGAATTCAGTGTGCTGATTGGCTTATGCCTATATTATATAAGATGAGTTGGAAGAATATGGATAAGGATGTAGTGTCTTGGTGATTCGATTAACTCGTCTCGAGAGTTTGGAAACCAAGTGTGATGATAGTGTTTGTTGCCTTTGATCTTGACTGACTGAACTGAGAAATGAAGACAACTCAAGTTTCACCACTGAGGGAAAATAAAAAAGCAAAGTGTAATTGCACTTTGCCCAGTCACTTGACCCCTATTGCAGCAGTTAAACATGGCTGAGATTGTTCTTAAAACTTTTCTTTGCCACTGTACAAAGCTCAAGCTAAGATAAAAACCAGGTGCAATTTCCACATACTTCAATATGACTATGTTTTAATTAAATTTTTAATGTTTCAGTGAAGAATAGTCTAAAACTGTGTTAACATTTAATTGTAAGTTTTTTTTGCTTGGCTGACTAGTACATCTATTTTTTAGTCTTAGGTACATCTTTTTTCAAAAATTTGTTTTAACAAACAATAAATACTAAAAAATACTAGACTACATTCTGATTCTAATAGCTAATTTTGTAAAAAAATGCTTTGCTTTCCTCAATGTATACTTACTTAGCTGGAAATTTTTTTAAATCAAACTTTAAATGGTTGAATAATTTTCAGCACTTTTAAAAGATTTTACTGTATTTTCACTACTGGATGCACTATCATTATAGGTATAGATGATTTTCTGATTTAGAAATTAATATTTTTATTTAAGAAATTGTATTTTGTAAATCCAAAGTTTTTGTTTTTGTTTTACAAACTAGCATTCCAGTAGGTGTGTGAATTTAAATTGGTTTCTCAAAGCATTGTTAAATGTTCAAACAGGTCTGGTCTAATGCATTAACAGGTACTGTACATTCTTTGAAATTTATGCTTTCAGAACCTTGAACTGTTGAAAAATGGTTTCTGTAACTTGGCCAAACAAATCAGCAATGCTTCCAAATTTGGAGTACCTGTTGTTGTTGCCATCAATCAGTTTGTGTAAGTTTTTGTATTATAAAAAAATAGTTACTCATAAAGTGATGGAAATAAATATATATATATATATCTGAAATTTAGGGTCCATGAAAATGGAGTATCTCATCTACATTCTTATGCTTGATATTTCTTGCTTAGTATTTCTTAATTAATTACTTAGTTAATTACTTAACTAATTCGTAATTACTTTTATCAGTTTTCTAATAAACACAGGGATAAATTATTGAATACTAGTGTGGGTGTATAGTTGGTATTTTGTTTTTTATTTTTGTGAGTTTGTCATGCTTTAACTCATAGTTATCAAATATTTAGTTCTTACACATTATTTAGTTAAATTAAGGAACACAAAAACGTTGTAAATATAGAACATTAATATCAACCTTACTTGGTTAATATATGAATGCCAAAGTAACAGTTTGTTGTTAATTACACACTTTATCTTAATAATTGAAATGATAAGCATATTAAAGTAGTATTCAGTAAATAAATAATGCAGTATTAGCTTGATGAAATCTGAAAACATGAAGAAACAAACCTGGTGAAAGTAATTAAGGCCAAACCTTTCACCACATATTTTTTTTTGTATATCAGTTTTTCAAATTACACTAAATAGCAATCACATGTTAGCAAAATATAGCTGTTATATCTTTGGAGAAATCAAATGTTTTATTTCTTAGTTCTTATAGTTTTATAGTAAACTATATGACAAACCACAAAGTTTTGTGTGCTTTTTAACATAAGTTTTCTCATGAAATATGAAACAATTTATCTTCTGCATGTCTTAGAGCAAAGTTCTGAACAAATTACCAAAAATTTGTCGAGTGGATGAAGCTACAAGGTCGTTGGTTTAACAGTAACTTGTAACTGGCTAGTTCAATAGTATATCTATAAAAGTTTGTTGTTACTAGTTTGGAGTAAAGCTGGGCTACTAGTAGAAGCTGCTAATTGATTAATTGTGATGCTCATTGATTGATTTTTCTTTAAAAAAAACTCAAACAATTAATCTCCAATGAGCTGGCTAGAAAAATAAAATAAAAACCTTAACACTAAATCTCAGATTCAATACCCTGGTCAGAGCACAGATAGCCAGCCCTTTGTGTAGCTTGTGCTGAATGACAAACATAAGGCAGTATTTTGATTAATTGGATAGGTGAGATGATAAGAAACTAATTTCAATTAGTTGATTATTTTTATGAGTCAGGACACTTATAGATTAAGCTGAACAAACTTGAATTTATCAAATATAATAATGAAAAATCATAATTGCCATTTTTCAATTTCTGGATAGTTGAATAATTGAAAACAATAATAAGCAGGAATACTACTTTTGTGACACTAAATATAATATAAGTTACCGGTTGATTGGAATAATCAAATCATTAGTAAACAGTTTATTATTTTTGTAACATTAAAATTATTGTAAACTTTCACTGGATTGATCCTATGCACATTGGTTGAATTTACTACATGTATTTATACAAAATGTGGCAACCTTTTGGTAAAATATACAAGTCTGTTGCACACAAAAATCAGATAGGTTGCACAAGTATTTGTACTCAAGATATATCTGTGAATGTATGGCATCAGACAAACTTGGACTATAACAAGTCCATGTGCAAGATGATGTTCTTGTGAAGAGTAAAAATACTTTTGTTCATTGTACAATTTACATATAGCATTTTCATCACTTCTAGAATCCCTGAAATGCATACCTACAGGTTTTTTTTTTTCCAATATCTCTATAGAGTGTATCTGGTATATACTCTCCTCTACTAAGAATTGTTGCTATATAAGCAGTGTAGTGCAAAACTGAATAGTGATAACTCTGACATAATACCATATTAAATGTCACTCTGTAAAAGGTTGTGGCACGTGCACTTTGATCCCACCTATACATATAGGGTTGATTGATTTAATCATAATTTTGATTGATCAATTATTTTACGTGACAGTAATTGATGTTCGTGGGTAATTGATTATATCAATTAATCATCCAGCTCCAGTTTGGAGTGAGTACTTCTGTACTGTTTTTTTCTTGGATTGGATTAAATTACGTACTAGAAGTACAAATAAAAATAATTTTACATACATACCTTTGTCGGTGTCTGTTTTGGTGTTTTAGTTGACCTTATGTCATCCGAGATACTGCAAAAAATAATGTATAAATTTTAACTTAATCTTATATAACCAGTTGTTTCTCACATTGTTAGAAATATAGTAACTGACTTTGTTCCTGTTCTTTTAACAAATGAATTATGATTTAAGGATGAGAGAAAATATATCTATCATAAAACAGTAATTAGAATACATATCACTTGTCTTGTCTAAAATTACCATGTTGTTTTATGAATTTTATATTATTAAAAGTGCTCACTTAGTTCATAATATCCTCTGTTTGAACTTCCCTTCACAGTACAGATACTCAAGCTGAATTACAGCTTGTTCAGAAACTTTGCAAAGAAAATGGAGCTTTTGATGCTATTATATGTAACAACTGGGCCAAAGGAGGTGAAGGTGCCATTGAGCTAGCAAATGCTGTTATCCGAGCCACAGAAAAGCCATCCAGCTTCAAGTTCTTATATGATCTGCAGGTACGTTTCTTTTCCTTTGTGTACTGTAAGTCAATGTTGCAGATCTTTTAAGTTTGAATTAATTTGTTGGAAGTAGAAGAGGGATTACAATTTCTTTGAAAAAAGTGTCAGAAAATCAAAAAATATACTCATAAAAATGATATGCAACACGTTTTTTCTACTCTGTGTAATCGAAGAGTCTGGCAGTGGATTAATAGACTCATGAAATTATATGAGTGGGTAAAACAATTTTGGCTAGTATAGATGAAGGCTTTTAGTTTTAGTTGGTACTTTATGAGAAATACTACAGCATGTAACTTATTATTTTAATTACAAGAAATGCTCTTCTTGTGACTCAAACATCTATATGTTGCTTATGCCATGTCAAGAGAATAACTTTTTTTTAATGGGTTATAATGAAGAACAATTCTGTAACAAGCAGTGAAATGTTAGAAGTAAGTTTCTACAGTTTCTTAAAGTAGCAAACTTTCTGATTATTGTAGAAAGTAAGTGTAACCGGTAAAAATATGCAGATACCCTTAAATGCAGAAACATTCTTATGTTGCAGTTTTATCAGGATATGTTTTTGTTAAAATTATTTTGATATGATTTTTTGCTGAACATGTTTTACCTGAGAAAGAGCAATTTCAGCTGCATGAATTGATGCATTGTCTTCCAGGAACAGACCATCTTCATTTGAGAATGAAATGTTCACAGAGATGTCTGCAATAAGGTTTAAGTAACCATTTGCTGTTGCTTTACCTTTCAGTGAAATCATAGGCTGTAAATTATTCCAAGAAAAAGCTTCTCATGCCATCACAGAGCCTCCATCATGCTTAATTGATAGTTTCATTTGATTTTCTCTGCACATGAACATGTCTATGCAATGGGAATAGTGTAAAAGATGATTCATATGATCAAATCACAATCTTTGGTCCAGTTTTTAAGTTCTTAGCACCATTTTATTTGGTCTTTTGGATTTTTCATCTTATTAGAGGTTCTTGAATGGCATATTTACAAAGGTAAGAAATCTTGTGCAATTACTTTCAAGTTGTTTTGACAGAGATTGGTTATCTTAAGCAAACGTAAGTTTTTATGCACACCTTTGACACTGCAGTCTTTTGCTTTTGTCTCACTACTCTTGTTAATGCTTGTCTATCAACTTAGTTTTTTACCACTATTATGTTTGTCTGATGTGGTTTATTTTGTGATATTCATGCTGACATCCCTTTTGACACTATTCCTTTAGATATATTCATTATTTTAGATGTTTGTGTCGCTGAGAATCCACTTAGATTCTCACTTAGTCATGCCTCTTTGAAAATCTGAAAAACCTTTTTAATTGGATATTTTAGAACCTTTCTCTGAAGAAAAAAAACAATAATATGCTATTCCTATACAGACAAATTCAATGATGTAATTTAATGCCCAGTTAAATTACCGTATTGTTATACTTTCTCATCTTGGAGACTCTAAAACTTGGAGTTAAAAGGTGAGGTGTTTCTATTAATTTGTCCAACCCCTGTACATGCACTCGTTCTCTTTGCACCTGTCTATTTCAGGTAACTTGTGTAGATTTCTCTTGAAAATACCCTACATCTTGTGTTTTTCAGGAGAATGTATTTGGAAATTATACTGGAAGGCCTTTCTCATCCTCTTTTTCCTTTTCGTAACAGTGATTTGGAACAAGAATAAATTAAATCAAGAGCAGTAGTGTTTAATATGACGTAGGCACATAAAGGTTTTATTTTGTAATAATTTTGATGTCATTTCTCTTAATATCATTTTATTCTAGTTTATAATGGTAATTCATTGATATTATTTTAACAGGTTGATTCAAATTTATGTTCTAAAATTGTTTTCCATTCATTTTGTATAAACAATACCTCTAACTTCCAATAGCTTCCCATTGAGGACAAGATTGAAATCATAGCCAAAGAAATATATGGGGCTGATGGGATAGAATTGCACCCAAAGGCCAAACAAAAAATTGAACTTTACACGAAACAGGTAGGATAATTTATTTTAATTCAAGTATGGCATAATTTCCAGTAAATCTGTTTTAATTTAAAAACCCTTCCACTTCTAGAATTCAGCTATGTTACTTGATAACCAGATGAATAAAATAGTTCCTGCAAACTATTTTCTAAGGGATTATAGTTTAAGAAATATGTAGATAAGTCTGAAATTAATATTTTGTGGTTACTTCAGATAACTATAAGATAGGGTTTTTAAGGGCTAGTTTAAACTTCAACTAAATTTCAGCCTTTCCTTGTTTTAATAGGGTTTCAATAACTTGCCAATCTGTATGGCTAAGACTCAGCTTTCTCTCTCTCATGATCCAAGCCGAAAAGGAGTACCTACTGACTTTGTCTTACCTATTCGAGATGTTCAAGCAAGTGTTGGGGCAGGATTTTTATTTCCTTTAGTGGGAACAGTAAGTAACGTCTCCTTAATATCATAATTCTAAAATCTGCTATATTACTGAAAAAGCTGTTTAGTTATTAGAGCTGACGAAAGTGATAATATCAAAACAAAAAAGTATTTAACATAAAACAATAAATAGATTTTATCTCTGTCCTGATCATGATTAGAACTTTGTTCATAGTAGTCTGCTTTTATGCATAGAAACCTTTAGCATTTTTTGTATAATATTTTAATGATAAAGTCAACATGTGGCAGAACATTTTTTGTTGAATCCTCAATAAAGCAAATACATGCAGTCCCATACAGTAGGATTAAGCTGTCACGTGTATTGTTAAATAACAATAATTACAAAAGTGCCTTTATCATTTTAATATATAGGGCCATTAATCTGTCACAGCTGAGTATACATATGGTTGTATTTAATGGTAGTTTTAACATGAGAGATTATTGATAAGTGGGTATTTTTCCTTAATGTTTATTAAAGGTGATGTAATATATTTCATGGTATACATCTGTGTTAAAAAGTCATATGACAGGATGAATAGAATTATTTATGTAAAAAAAAAATATACAGTAGCAAAATCTGTGCTGTTGTTTTGCACATTCATTGCTGAAATATTTTATTTGTGTTAAACCATTTATTTTTACAATGTATTTTACTTTAGCAATAAAGACAGTAAGTTAGCACAACATTACCTTTATCAAATATTTAAGTCATCATTTTGAAAAAGATGCCTTCATTGTATTTCCAGGAAAATTTTCACTTTAACATTTGAATTTTATACATTGTATTTTTTGTTAATCATCTCTTAAAGGATTTTAATGAGAGGTGTTTATATTCTAAGTTACTAATTTTATATAACCCATTTGTCACAAAATGCTCTTAAAATTACTATTGCTTGAATGACTTCATAGAAAGATTTTGTGATACAATATGTGATCAAGTTCATAGCTAATTTTTTTTGTCAAATTGTAAATATTCTGTAATATTAGTACAGTTTCTTTTTTATGTATTAGTCTTACACATTATTTGTTTCATCATTTCTAGAATTGTTGTATCTTTCATAGGATTGAAAATCACATTTTAAGTTTACTAATTTTGTTAATTCACAGTAGATGTAGTATCTTTTTCAGAGACTTCAACTTTGATATAAAAAGTTATCAGACTTGGTAATATGGGAAAGCAACTTTTGTTATACACTAAAGCAGGATTAAACATTGCACAGAGTCATCACCACGAGTTAACATGGAAGTATTCTACATAAGAAAACGAGAATGTATTCTTAAAAAAATATGAAATAATACTAATAACAAAAATATAATTGAACTTTACATTGAACATGAAAATACAGTTGAACATAACATCATACATAACATGAAATGTGATTAATGTGGGATTTTTTGCACAATTTTCATGTGATATTCTTTTCTTTTTTTCCAATCCAGATAACCACAATGCCTGGCCTACCAACCAGACCTTGTTTCTATGATATTGACCTGAACTTAGAAACTGGAAATGTGGAAGGACTTTTTTAATTCTTCTAACAAAACAGGAATGGATCTAAGTGGATGTTGCTTTTTTATTCTTTATGTGCTCAAAAACCCTTGTAAAAAAATCTATGATTTCAGAAAAAAATACTCTATTCTTTAGAATATGAGCTAAAAAAAACTTTTCAAATTGCAAGTGTTTATAAAACTGATTATTAGTTTTTTTAAGAAAGGTTCAAAATGTGTTTGGTTAAACTAATGGTTGTAGTTCACATCCTAAACAATTTTTTTTTTGTTTTGATTGGGAATTTAGAAATTAAGTACAACGTAAAAAGAAGTAAAATACTACTTGAGGACACTTTTAGTTCTCAAGGGATTTATTTGCTATGTTATGTTATTTTGGTTTTGGTAGATTCTCATAACCACTGTATTGTAGATGATTAGAAGAACAAATGTGTTTTCGAGAAGTAACCATAATATGATTGTCTTCCGTCCATAAGTAATTTAGTGGGCTTGGTGGCACCATATTAGATTTAAATATTTTTACAGTTTTTTTTAAAAGATTGTTTACTACACATTTTTTGTAAAGATTAATGAGATATAATCAAAATATAATTCATTTGCAAAACAATAAGTGTGTGAAAACTCCTGAGGGACATGTATTACAGGTATTAAAATTTGAATATATTTTTATAGAACTTTGGTTACATTGAAAATATGGAATATATAAGGAATAAATATCATGCTTTCGTTACTTAAGGATTCTACAAGGATATTATAGGATCTTTGCAAATGGAACCTCATTGATATTGTTACATTAAAAATGATTAATTTTACAAGGGAGTAGGTTTGTTTTGTTTTTAATTTTTATAAATGTCTAATGTTTTACAATACAACTTTGTTCTTGTTCTTATAACACTTAAATAATCCAATTTACTAAAAATGTATTAATTAATGTGTATTCCAATTTCCAGCTATTATAATTCACTAATTCCAATAAATGCTGGTAAATAATTATTTCATTTATATGTAAACTTGTTTTTCAGGTTTTTGAACAGAAATTAAACTCTTCTTGTAACTTGCTGTTATGACTTAATTTCAAAAAATGCTGGAATTTTTGGGATTCTCTCCATACAACAAATGTCTCACATTTTTATGTAATAAATTGATTCATGCATCAAACACAGTAATATACAATACATATAAAAATGAAAAGGAGTATAGTAATAAAAAAGTTTGAAAAAATTCACGAATAAAAATATAGGTGATTAAAAAAAATATTAGGTGAATAAACTAGAATTTCTCATTAGATTAACCACTTTGTGACAAAACCATAAAACACTTTATATAATTATCTTGTGATTCCTTCCAACCATACCAGGCTCTTATGTGTGTAGCTGAATTTACACTTATGAATCAAATACAGAATTTAATTTTTCTTCCCAAGAAATTTTTTGTATCTTTTTTTTTATCTGTATTTGAACATCTTGAAACCCACTGGTTAAATAATTTGTTGGTTAAACATGTCTGTTTATTTTGTAAAATAAATTTGGAATAGCCATTTTTTTAAAAATCCATTAGTACAGCCAGCATTTTTAAAAATATAATGCTCCTATAGATATATATTTAGCACTTGCTTCAGTTTCAAAATAGTTGCCTGACATTATTGTAACAGCAGTGCATGATTTTAACACATCTTCCTTGAAAAAAAAAACTAAATTATTGTGAATTTTATGGATAATTTGACACTGTGGAAGTAAACTTTTGATGTGTCATTTTTAGAATGAATGTAGGAAAACCTGCTTGTTAACTTGTTTTTACTACCATATTATTATATATTTGTTTTCATCAATTAAATTTGGTCTCCTACTGAATATTCAGTAATTACTTTTCAAGCTTAGTAATCATATTTGGTACATTTGTCAATAATTGATTATATGTATCAAATTTACAAAGAAAAAGCTATAATTAAGTCTCGTGCCAGGGAGAAAAAATAAAATAGGTTATGAAAAAGTGTAGAATTACAGGCTAAAGAAATGTATTTATTGTTTATAGTACAAGCAGGAGAAAAGCTATAAGTGAAGGCAAACTAACTTATTAAACAAATTGTACAGATTAATTTTAGTTAAGTGACTGAACTGCATTAATCTCCAGCACCTGATGCATACCTAAGTAAGGCTCAGTGAATCCAAAAAAACATAGGGAGTGAAGCTGGAAGGAATCCCTGGAATTAAAACTTTAAAAAGTTAAAAAAAAAGGATAAAATAATACAAGAAAATAAATGCAGTTTTCCCACAATCATGCTACACATTTCATTGTATGCAATATATTAAAACAGCAAACTAATTTGTTGTAATCAAATAATCAATATATGTGAAAACCAAGTGCTGGTCAGTCATTCGCACTCAAGTTCTCTGAATCTCGTGAATTTCATGTCCAATTCCACTTCTTCTCCTATAATATTTCCTTTTTGATTGCCATTTCCCATTTTATTTGCATTTAATCACTAACATAGGCATAAATAACTTCTGAATTTTGGCACTTTTTCTGTTATAAGAAAGCTTGTTAAGGAGGGAGTTCCCAGGACCAGATCAGGCATGTCGTTATGTGTGTGATACCACATCATTATGATGTCAAGCTAGGTAGGATCCCAAAAACCCAGGAAGACTCCTGTGAGAAATAAGTTAAAAATTAGTGCAAATCTATGCTTGGGAATTATTACGAAAAAAAACTTAAAACAGAATGACGATACCAATTATCTGTAGGGAAGAGGATGACTTTTCCTCAGAAGAAGAACAAGTGCGTATGTGATCACATGGTCATCATATTTATAATCTTTTATCCAAAGGCACAAATATGTAGCACTCTTTAGATAAAGGAAATATTGCTCATGATAGGGTTTGGTTTCCTTAAGTTAGAAGGCCATTTATTTTTCTCACGTCTGTTAATGGGCTGCAAAGTTGCAAATGCATAATGGAGAGTTCAATTTTGGTAGGCTTTGGTTTGCCATAAACAGAACTAGAACTTCCATATTTAATTTTAACAAAAAGCAAGCAACAAATACTAGCAATAGTACCCTATGATGGAGGAGTGATTCCTGTGGCCATATATACATAAGCCTATTTACAATGCTGTACCAGCATGAATAGACCTAACCATACCATTTCATTATATTTGCATTAATCATCACAATGGCAGAAGAATTGCATTACAACAGTGTTAAAAAAGAATATGCACAAAATATTTTGCCCTTAGAGACCAGGCAGTGTGATAAAACATCCCACCTAACAAGAAAGAAATGAGGGGGGGGGTGAGACTCTAGAGTTGTGTACCCACACTAGTAACCAAAATAGATCTAACACCTCTTAGGTGCTAACAATTTTTCCGACTGTGGACGTTTATTAACATCAACATCTTGCCTACCTTTCAACTTGTTTTCTCAATTTCAACATTGAGAAGAGTAACACAATGTGATACCATGAAGGTATTACTTCTTACCTCCAGCCTTACATGGAAAGTGAGCATTTTAATGTAATATGATTGTACCTTTACCAACATATTCTTAAGAACACTTTCAGAAGATTGTATATTTATGAAATATTTCAGTCTATAGCTTGATAATATTCTAACACAACCAAATGAAACTTTGAGTAAACCAAGTTTACATTTATTATGCTACCTGCTACTGTTTATGAATTTTACTTTTACAATAATTTCACCACTTTAGTTTGAACTAATTGAAATGTTTCTGATCAAACTCTGCAAGTGCTACATCAGCCTAGCTGTTACTCTAACTTCTTACCATAAAATTCATTTCTGCCAAGCGTTCAATGTCAAAGCAGAAACATTCTCACAATTGGTATTAATGAAACAGCAGGAACACTGTTTTCTCAAATAATGTTTCACAGGCCAGTAACCATAATTAACTTCACAATTCAAGATCTTAAAATTCAGACCAAATTCTCGTACTCGTTGTCTCACTAGTTGTGTTTCTAGTAATTGATTCATTTTGTGTTATACAACACTCATATGTGTGAAGTTTCATATATGCATTTAATTCAAACTTTCATGTATTGCCACAAACACAGTAACTTTTGGTATCATCATCAGTGGTGTGTGTTTGTGTCATTACCATAATAACCAAGTCGGGTTACTTTCATAAACTATGAAAGGTGGTCATGGTTCGGTAATGTGCTGACATCTGTGATTGGTAAAACTAAATTGTTTTAATGGCCTCGGAAAATAAACAATTACTGGCAAAATTTTGATGAGATAGACAATTCAGCCAAAATTCTAATTGCTACTCACCATTTTGCTACCATGTATAACAGTACTTACCTAGATAAACTTCAGTTTAATACAAATGTTCACAATACATGGGTATTTACTGTCCAAAATCTCCACCACCCATGGAATATTGAAACACTTTCTGCGAGTCAATCTGCTTGCGTCATCTGGCACCACATAAAAAGAAATCCAATGGAATAAGACCTACTCCGTGTCGATTCCCAGACACCCAGTTCACTTTCTGCTCTGGTAAAAAACACAACTCCCTCACTGTACATGAAGGAGTTGCATATAGTTAACTGTATATTTGATAGTTTCTCCTAAGCACCTCATAGCCTGTTCCAAAGAACTGCCATTACACGGATAAAGGTGAGCAATCTTCATAAAACATCAAACACCATTTCACAGTGGAAAATAACTATAGCTTGGCAAGCAAGGGTCAAGAAGCCCTTTCAGTTATTGGTTTTTCAAACAAACAACTGTTCTAGACTTGGTCATTGTGTGTTCATTACAAAATACCATTTGTGCATATTACCCAATAGCTCAGAAAGCAAGGGTTGCAATACACTTTCAGTGATTGGTTTATTGAAAAAGTAACTGACCTACCTGTTCATAATTAAGTGGATGTCATGCAATGTAGTGTATACTTTGCAAGATGAACATCACTTGGAAGGCAAGGATCGCCACTCCCTTTCAGTCAGTGACTGTGCAATCAATAGTTGTCCTAAATGTTTATCTAGCAGCTTATCTCAGCCATAACAATCAGTGGGTGCCTCAGCCAACCACTGAAGCTTTCTTGCACCTCTTCAGATGCTTCCTCATCTGGCCCATCGAACATAGTTAGGTAAGTACTCTCACATTCATAAGCTGAACTGAGATGATATAAAACAGTATCCCAATTTTATTCCTATTTATTAGATCCAAACTCTGATTCAAGGCCCCACGGAGCACAAGAGACTCATCTGTAAAATAAGGTTGTAGCTTATCTGCGTGTTGAATGCACTTGCATATGCTCCATGAGTGATGGATCTCGTATGTCAATGGACTGATGTATCTGAGTACTAAGTGTAGACCAGTCCAACCTGAGCCCAGGTGCTTCCATGACGCAGGGACGTACCACAGCCATGCCCATTCTCCATGTTGGAAAATCCTTTCTTTGGCGGTTTTGTTATACCATCTCTTCTACTGTATGGTAGCTTTTCCTGGTTTCTGTTGTGCAAGCTTGTGCATTTCTCAGCCACTCTGCATAAACTTGTGGAAATTGTGTCACTTTTATGCTAGATCACATCTACAGGGAGCATATTTCCCAACCAAGTACGAGCATGTTG